GGGATTGAACTCAGATCCTTCCGTTTGCCAGTCAAGCGCTTATCCTACTGAGCCATCTCCCCGGCCCAATGCTAAGAATTTCAGCAGTGTCTGTTTTAGACAGCTTGCAGTTGCTGTGATATAATGCCTGAAATAATCAACTGAGAAGGAGAGATTCACTTGGCTCATGATTTAGTGGCTTTGTTACACAGCTGGCCCTGTTGCTTCAGTTCTGTGGTGCAACAAAACATCATGGTAGATGAAGTCTGTTTACCTTGTGACAGCTAAAAGCTGAGGAGAGGGGAGAGAGAGAGGAGAGAGAGGAGAGAGAGAAAGAGAGAGGAGAAAGACAAAGACAGAGACAGAGAGACTTCAGAGTTGGGCCTTATATGCCTGCCTTCAAAGGTGTACCCTGATGCTGTAGCTGCCTTTCAGAGGCCCCAACTTCTAATGTTTCCACCATCTCCCAACAGCACCACTGCTGGCAACAGTCATGAGACCTTGTAGGACACTCTAGATTCAAGCTACAGCAGTCTGCAACATAGACAAATTGAATAAGCAACATTTTAAATCTGAACACTTATGTTGCAGGTATTTATACACAATAACCTTAACAACTCTAAGATGGGCACTCCAGATCTAATATTATTAATACTAATAAATGATTGACTAGACCAGGGACATCCAGAGAATAAGATGTAAAACCAAATTTTAATCCAAATATCCTCAACTCTGAAACTGGTACCTTACCCAGTTTATTATACTCCCTGGTAGGGGACGTTGATTTGTGGGGACCTTCTATGGACTATCTATGAGAGAGTAAAGAAGTAAATCCATTGCAAGGCTTAGGGACAGATTTTATTGTTATATTAACTGGCAGCAACCCCAAATATAGTGGGGATCCTCATAGGTCTGCAAAAGCATATAGTTTTTACCAAGACAGTTACCAAATGATGTACCTCTGTGAGTTGTTCAAACTGGTAAGGCTTTATGGTCCTTTGTGATATTTGCCCAAGTTCCAATTACAATGCATAATTAAATCTAAACTAAAAGTACCACAAAACCCCTAAACAACTGACCTTCATTCCATTTCAAAGCTTATACATATATCTGGGAACTAAGTAACAAATGCTAGGAATGATTGAGTTGAGTTTTATAGGATGGTGAAGCTTGCTCAAGTGATTTCTGAATTGGTCCACAGTTTGGAATATTTATAAGCTACCACAAAAGCCTTCCTAATTGGTTCCTCCATTCCTGATTTCCTCTTAGTTTTGCTCTGTTGTTTATATCTTCACCTCAGCAATCTTCCTAAAAGATTTTTTTGTTGCTTCTGTGTGATTTGTCTCCCTGTTCACTATTTTTTTTTTATTCTTTGTCCTTGGTCTGTATAATCTGGTTCCCAATTTACCTCTACTGTGTCTCTCTCAACTCCTTTTTCCTAGAGGCTCATTCACTCCTTTTCCTCGTCTCCAACTCTTACCACTTTCTTTTGTATTTTTAAAATTAATTTCTTTTCTCTCTCTCTCTCTCTCTCTCTCTCTCTCTCTCTCTCTCTCTCTCTTTCTTTGGTACAGGGTCTCACTACACAGCTCAGACTTGTAGTGATCCTCCTGTCTCAGTCTCCCCAGTGCTGGGATTACAAGTGTGCACCACTGCACCTGGTTTTGGTGGCTGGCACAGCATGCTCAGGGTTCTGAGGCTTGCATGGCAGGCAGTGCCTGGGACTGAACCTGGGTCCTTGCTCTTTCCAGGCAGATGCTTAGATCACCAAACTATCTCCCCAGCCCACCACTTCCATTTTCACCTCCAAACCACTTACTCCATTTCCCCATTTGTTCTTTCTGCCCTTTCCCACTATCTCTGTCTTGGAGTATGCTCCTTTATCTTTTTTACAGATGCAACTTACAAATCCTTTTATATCTACTTCTTTTGATTCATTCAGTGGACATTTAACTGTGCAGTGAGGTGTAAGCGCCCAGGAGTAGCTCTAAGGTAATTTTCTCCATGTAATTTACTAAAAAGGATGGTATCATTTTTATTCCACCTCTAGCCTAGTTGTGACTTCATCTTTGAGGGAGAGCTCATTCTGATTCAAATGATCTATCACTTTCATCCCACACTTGGGCTATCTCCAACTGTAACATTATCCCCACACAATCTTGAATTATATACCTACTGTAAGCAATTGATCATACTTTAGGTACTACCTCTTCTGGCCCTATGACACAGCATATGGTTAAAACAAAGTAAGGAATATTTATCCAGAGAGAAAATTTAATTATAAGTTAATCCCATAACTGAGTTAGACATAAATTATGTTGCACAATGTTCTTGTTCTTAAATAAAACAATTATTAATACTTGAGTATATGAATTATTTTGCTTCATGCTGTGAAAACAACCAAGACATAATGGCTTCCCTTTAGTTTTTTTTTTTAAAGGCATTTCTATTCAAATGCTTGGTTTGCTTTCAACCCATATTTCATTTTTTCCCTTATTATCTCTTTAATACCCATCATCTTACAATTTTTTTTGCCAGTTAGCCATCAATACAGATGGGATGATGGAATGGGGAAGAGCCGGCACAGTAATCATCTTACTGGCCCAGTCAAACTCCTTATCTCATCTTTCTCTACTCCAAAAAGGAGAGGGAAAGTGATAATGTTGTTAGGGAGACAGAGTGCACTTAGAGGAGCACAAGACATTTTTTAAAAATCCAGGGAAAACCATTGTATGAAGTAGGATAGGATAATTAGGGGGAGTGTTCTAGAACTGTTTTTACCTACATCAATGAAACTAAAACCAAGCCTTTCACCAATCCCCGATGGTTATTACAAAACCACACTTATTCTGAAGATTAAAAAGCCACATTCAGACTGCTGCCAAAGCCTGGGTGGAGGAGCTGAGGTCAACATCAAATTTGAAATATTTAAACTGTTTCCACAATGCAGATAATTAAGAGTGTTGTTGTGGGCAATGGTACTGTTGGTAAAACATGTCTCCTGTTTCCTATACAACACACAAATTTTCATCTGAATATGTACCACTATTTTTGACAACTATGCAGTCACAGTTATGATTCGTGGACAACCATACACTCTTGGGCTTTTTGATACTGCAGGACAAGATGATTATACCAAATCACGACCACTGGGTTATCCACAAGCAGATGTAATTCTAGTCTGTTTTTCAGTGGTGTCTCTACCCTCATTTGAAAGTGTGAAAGAAAAGTGGAACCTGAGATAACTCACCACTGTCCAAAGACTCCTTTCTCAATTGTTGGCACCCAAATTGATCTCAAAGATGATCCCTCTATTATTGACAGACTTTCCAAGAGCAAACAGAAACCCATCACTCCAGAGACTAATGAAAAGCTGGCCGTGATCTGAGGCTGTCAATTACGTGGAGTGTTCTGCACTCAGACAGAAAGGCCTAAACAATTTTTTTGTTGTTGTTGTTTTAGGCTAATTATACATATATTTGAACAAGGATCCAAGATGCAGGGAAATCATTTCATTTTTACTTAGGCAAACTGCTGAGGAAAATACAAGTGGTTATACTCTGTTTTCTATCTACTGCTCCTTACCTAGAACATAAATTTCACTGTTGACTACGGCTGTGCTGAATCGGTACTTAGAGTAGTGCATGGGTGCCCGCTCTTGCCATTGATCTTGGCTGGGGTCATACTGCAACAGTTTGTTGCTTAATCGATCAGGTTCTTCATCAGGAAGATCCATCTGCAGGGAATATGACAGCCAATATAATAATGCACCACTTAGAGGTCTTTGCAAGTACATGAGCACAATTAATCTGAGCAGACAGCCAGGAGATGAATGGAGGTTAACCATAGTGACACAAACACATCAAACCCTAGGACACGAGCTTGTGCATGTCCTGTCAACCCGAGGAATTTATATTCTAATATGATGGTGATAAAGTACTGGGTATAGCAAGCAATCTGTGATTCTAGCAGTGAGACATGATAGACTTAAAAAAAAATGAAGCAACTGAAAAACCTTAAAAATAAAACCAAGCTCTCTTGAACAGTATTTAAAGTGTAATTCCATATGAATAAACTTGATAGTTGTGGATTTTAATAATATTTGTGTGAAACTAATTTTTAATAATTCATAAGGCATTTTTTCTAACTTATATGTGTGAAAGTTGCAAAAGTATCTTAGTGTTTTAGTACTTAGATAAATTTTATGCCACAATTATGACTTATCTATAAAAGATCTGAATTCAATTTTCAAGGCCCATGGACTCATATAAAGTTGTTTTTATGTACTCATTTATATATTTTTAATATGTAGACATAGTACAAAATGAGTATGTTTATTCTTACAGATATAAATGACTTCTCAGATTCCAGGTGAAATAACTTTTTCTGTATTCAATGTATCTGGAACTTCTTGACTTCAAGTTAAAGTGTCTCTCCTTTTGTTGTGTTCTGGATCCAAATGTTCAACAAAGAAATAACGAAATGACGAAATCATGAAAGTTGTGTGTAACTGACTTTCATTAACTACTTTAAATACGCCAAGAGCTCTGAACACACTGGTACATTCCCAACTCCAGGTTATTCTGCAACTTAATGTATTATTTTAGGTGCTCAATCTGATTAGCAAAAGCCTTTGTTATGCAACGCATGTTATTTGTTCAAAGAATATGAATTAACAAATATTTACTGTTTTAATTTTCCTTTTTTTAAATTTTGAGACAGGGTTTCACTATGTATCCCAGGCCGGCCTCAAACTCATGGTAATCTTTTTGTTTCACATGCCTGGCTTAATTTTCTTTTTAATTTAAATATTTCATCACTTTTTAAAAGATAAAAAGTAGACATGCTCTTTGATTGTCTTTGGAGCTTGTTCATGAAAACTTAAAAATGGACAGTTTTGAAAAAGTTTAACTACAAATAACTTGTCAGACTTCAGGTATGATAAAATTTATATTACTTTTATGACCTGCTAATAATAAAAATGTGTTAAGTACAAAGTTTAACTTTAAAAAATAGGTATGACATACTATAATTGGCAAAGTTCAAGCTTATAAAATCAATACAAAACTATCAGTTTTATCATGAAGCAAATCAGCAGGAAAAAAAGAAATACAGGCAAAAATACATTGATCTTATATTATGGGGATGAAGAATGAGATATAAGACTAATTTTTTATTAGAAGGACTGGATGGCCAGGGGAGAGCAGCTGGAGAGACGCTACTGTAAGTGCCAAAGGACCCAAGAGGACAATGAAAAGAGGAGTGACAGTCACTGCAGTCACACTAATTCTTTAATTTTGGCTGTAATCAATTCCCTGGGCTTCCAGGTAAGCATTATTCTACTGTCCCCATCAGCTGATGCTCAACAAAAACAAAATGTTCACAATTGTGACGCACTTTTTTGGACAGGAGTACACTATCACAGAATCAGTACTTTGGTTTCCCCCGTGGAGTACAATTTTTAAATCTGGAAGAGACCTAAGAATCTCTCATTCCAGATCACACAGCTACTGGACTTGGGACAGGTCTGGGATGAGGATTCAGCTTCTCTGCCTCTTTTTACATGTTCCCTACAGATAATCCCTCAGCATAAAACATCTTTCATAATTAGCAACAATGGGAAAAACTATGAAGAATACCACATGAATACCAAATGAAGTCATGCCTATAAATAACACACTTAAAATCCATTCTCTAAATTGCTTCCACACTTTAAAACCTTAAATTTATATCTTACGAAACAGAAAATATTTTATCAAAATGAAAGTCATATTCTTATATTGAACAACTACAGCATTTTTGAACAGAGACAGACTCAGCACAATCATGCCAATTAGGTACACAAGAAATTTCTTAACCTGAGGGGTCCAGCCTCCAATCACATAAAGTTTATTTTTCACTGTCACTACAGCATGACACGCCAACTGCAGTGGAAGAGGGGACACCCTTTTCCAGTTGTCTCCATCTACAGAGAACTTATCAACATAGTTTGTAACAAGGTACTTGTTTTTAATTTTCATCTGTCCTCCTACAACATAGAGGTCATTATGGACACTGCCCAGAGCATAGAGCTCCCGAAATTCAGTTGTGCATAACTTTTCCCAAAACTGGTTTCCTCTATCATGATACCTGTAAATCAACAGAGAAAGAACTCAGGATTAGAGTTATGATCAAAACAACTCAAGAAACATACTGGTTTCTTTTCTAATTAAAAATGATGAGATATGGCCCTTCCAAAATTAACATAAAACAGTGATATAGGTTCACTTTTTTTAAGGACTGATGAACAAAATATAGTATGATTAAAAATGGCTAATCAAAAAACTACCTGAAGAATTTCATTTTAAAAATTTATTTATTTATTTATTTATACCAGGGATAAAACTCTTATGCTACTGAGATATATCCTTGGCCCCTAACTGAAGAATTATAGAAAATATAATGTATATAAAAAGTACAGACTGCCCAGAACTAATGTTCATTTCCTAATTCTGGGAAAGAAAAATCAAGAATGAGTAGGAAAGTTTTTCAACCACTCATTTGTAAGTCTTCCATTAAAGAGCAAAAAGAAACAAAAATATATGCATTTGTTTATTCTGGTGACAAGAAATATTTTAATACTATATTAAAGAAATCATGATTTTAGGACAGAGAATCTGAAAATACCTCAATTCAAGATTTCAAACAGGATGATACAGGATGTGTCAAATTTTCAGGATTCCTGTGGTTCTAAGGGGCTTAAAATTGGACCAAGACTAGCTAGGCATGGTGGTACACATTAGTAATCCCAGTACTTGAGAAGCTAAGGTAGGAGGATTGCTGAGTTTCAGGCCAGCCTGGAATAAATAGTGAGTTCAAGGACAGCCTGAATAATATAGCAAGACCGTGTGTTTGGCAAAAGCAAAATATAAACAAAAAAACTGGATCAAGAGCACTGAATAAAAAGTGTAAAGAAGGAAATGAAGGGGAGAAATGAGGGTAATGGAAGGGTGAGTAATGGGAATGGACAGGGTCAAAACGTATTTATGGCATGTATGAAAATGCCACAGTGAAATCCTGTATTCTGTAATGAAGGTATATTGATACCTTCATACAAAAAATAGAGAACACTAAGTTTTTTAAAGCAGAAAATGCTATAGTTGCATGTTAATGAAATAAAGTGCTTAAAAATTTAAATAAACCCCAACCTTTGTAGAAAGCTGCTGGGCATTTAACATCTGTTTTTATCAACTAGATATGGTAATTTCTTACTGGAACAGTTCCATCAGTCTGAAAGGAGTCTGGGGAGACAGGGGCCCTAGGGTATATGGCCTCAGTGACTGCTGGGTCTGACACAGCAACAGATCGTCTGGTGGGGAGGGCACTAAGTACTTACTGAGTATATCTCATCTTGTAAGTCTATTTTTTCCAACCATGACTTGGAATACACAGTCTGAGAAGAATACACGTATTGTACAAGTAAGTACAGTGGAATAAAATATGTGAAATTAAATGTCCCAGGAAACCTAGACAGTCTACTTTGAATTAAAAATATAAAAACACAGGAGAGCATAGAAAATAAGAAGAAAGTTGTTCTGTTTGGAAAGAGTAAAAATGACAAAGGAATTACATGTTGTTTTATACATGTTGTTTTATACAACTTTTAAGTATAATAAGAGTTCCCTCCAGCTGTCCCATGCCAGCTCCCATATTCCCCAGAGAGAACATTTACTTCAGGGAAGTGGAAAGGTGTGTTCCTGTCCTAGAGGGCATATCTGGCTTGTCACCATCAAATGCAGAAGTATACTGAACCTTATAATGCCTGTTTCATATAATTCTAGGCAGAAAACCTGTCTCCAGAATCACAGGTAATGTTTTCACTACTATTTTTAATTGTATGGATTTTAGAAGAGAAAGGAGAATTAGCTGTCTGCATGTGGGGGTTAACTGAAACAAAGCCAAGTGAATGAACATATAAATAGAAGCAAAAATGGGTTTTGGTATTCTGAGATATAGTTTAAGAAAGTAGGCTGGGAATGGAATACATGCCTTGAAGGGTGGGAAGTACACGTCTGTTGGGTGATTGCTAATCTGATTTTTATAGTAACATTTAGAACTAAAGATGGGGAGGAGAGAAAGTGCCCAAATTAAACTATAAAACGTATTCATAAGGAAAGTGGACATAATATAAAAAGCAAACAATAGTGACAAAAGTAATCACCGTTTAACAGGTTGATATCTTACAGGTGACATGTAACCTCTTGTATGCTGACATGGAGAAGTAGCGAATCTTTTTCAAAATAAATGCTTACCAGAGTACTAGTCTACTTCCTCCTTTCAGAACACATTTGCATGGAAATCTACACACTACACAGAAAGGGTAAACTCAAGAGCATCTGGACAAAGATGAAAGAGTTAGATAGAAATAATTTTGCAGGCATGTACCACTACACAATACATTCCTCACACATATCACAGAACTGGCACGAAGGTGACCTTCAGCACTGCTAGATTTTAGCTACTCAGACACTGCCAGAAGTTTCACTTAAGCTAATAGCAAGATAATTTCATCAGTGGAGGAATGGTAGATGTGACTGGTAATTTTTACCCTAACTGCTATAGTTTAAGTCTAAAATGTCCCCCAAAAGTCTCTTATGTTCAGAGGTGGGACTTTCAGGGAGTGATTGGATCATGAGGGCTCTAACTTCATCAAGTTGATTAATCCCACGATCAGTTCATGAGCTAATGGATTTATCAGGAGTTAGGGCCTAATTGCCTGAAATAGGTCACATGGACATGACTTTGAAGAGTATATTCTGTCCTTGGCCTTTGGCTATCTGTCACTCTGTCCTGGCTTTCCTGAAGTGGCTTTCCTTTGTCACATCCTTCCACCATGATGTTCTGCCTCACCTCAGCTCACAGCAGTGGAATCAGCCAACTAAGCGCTGAGACTTCTGAAACTGTGAGCCCAAGGAAATCTTAGCTGTCTTCAAATTGACTTTCTTGGGTATTTTGTCACAGTTACAGACAACCTACTGGCACATTATCTGTGACCAAAGTTGAGACCCTGTGCAGTAATGGGAACCTGTTTGGATTTAAAACAGACAAGAAAGGCAGTACTGTGGTATATAGTTAGAAAAGGAAAATTTTACTATCTAGTGTTTATTCTATGTGTATATTTTATATTCACTCAGTTAGATTTAAGCACTACTCATTTACTGTCTGCCAAATAAATGATAAATGTATGTGTTCTCATAAATAAAATCCAGATGATACACTACTGATTAGCAGACACTCTCGTTCCTCTTAATCCAACCCAAAGATTAAGGCGTTTTTAGGCAATGGACATTTTTCAATACTAGAAATTTAGGAAAGATTCACAAATTTAAGTCACAGAATGAAAACTTCCTGGTTAAGAAAAAATTACTACTCTGAAAGATAAACTAAAAAAAAGTTCAAAAATCTGAATAAACTTTTTTAGTATTAATAGTTATATGAAAGTACTTAAAAACAAAGCAGTATATTATTTATTACATGAATAAATAATGAATGGTAAGAGGTAAAGTACAATTGAATCATAGCATACATATATTTAATTCAGGCAAATTTAAAAGGAAGAGCAAATGAAAATTTAAAATGTGCTCAATCATGAATGTTACATTTATGCTATATTCATTCATGGTTTTATACATATGCATACACATAACTTTGTTCTTCATGTTATTCTTTAGGGGAGCTATACAAGGTAATTTTTACCACATGTAATTTAAGATATGACCACTCAGTAGTACTTGCCAATGTCAAAACAAGATAAAAATAATTTCCTGCTAGATACAAACCTATAGATTTCGACATTCTTGTCCTTTTGTCTAGAGAGTCTGGAGGCACTTGCTTCCCCAGCCACAATGATTGTGTTATTTTCCATGACAACGCCAGTACATACGGTCCCTAAACCCTCCCCGTACTTGGGAGATGAGATGAAATAGGTCTTCTGTGAAGCAGGATCATAACAGAAACTTGCATCCCCATAGTTTCTATATCTTGACCTGATTCCTGAAGAGTTGTTGCCAATGCAGAGCAGGAGACTGGTGGTCTCCATGCCATAGCGAAGGTTCAGAGGGTGCTGCTGGGGTGTCTTGATGGCGCTGAATGCGTTCTGAATGATATCAATGCAGCCAGCATCACACAGCAGCATTGTGTTCCTTTTGAGGGCCTGCCTTAAGAAAGAAGGATTTATAAGTTCCAATCTGACTTGCTTCAAAAGCTCGACGAGATGCTCTGTGCGCAAGTCTTGGTTATGATTTACCCATCTCAGCACCAAGTCCAGAATGCTCTCTTCTCTGGATATGTTAAGATCATCTGATTTAATAAGCGTCAGAAATTGGTGCACTTCCACATCTAGTATTTCTTCATGTAAGCTCACCTCAGCAAAGTGCTGAAACAAATACTTCTTTGACTGATCAGATAAATCCTCAGCTCCAATCTGCTTAGCAAAATAATAAATTCCTACACAGTTGGAGGCATCCATATGGTCCATCATGTATTTCTGACACACACTAAAGACTTCTTCCATCTGCATAAAATAGGCAGCCATAGCGACAGTCTGGACATTAGCATTGTTGATCTCCAGAGTTGCATTGTACATATAATTTAATATCACCATCACACTCTCTGCTGTGATGTCATAGAGTACGACTTCCCTCTGAGAGCATTCAAGCAGTCCACAGGTGAACATAGCTTTGAAATATGGACTAAATGCAGCCAGGACCAGTCTGTGGCAGGGGAATTTTTCCTCTTCAGCTATGAGCACTACATCAATCATTTCTGTTAATTCTCTCATGTTCTTAATTGTATTCAATAAGTTCAAGCTATGTTGGTATTTTTCTTTTCCCTCCATCTTGTGCGCTATGATACACTCTCCAAAGTTTCTGGGCCTTCTTTTTGTTTAGTGTGATTCCTGAGGAGCTATTTGCATTTCTGGTTACTCAAAAATTAACAGAGATGCCATGAAACACTCCTGAGGGTAAGAAAACAAGCAGTTTTCATCTAAGAAAAAAAATCTCTTTAATTGAAATATGTAGCATTAGTGCTAAGAAGTATTTAAAAATAAATATGATTCATCATAAACAGAGCAGTTTAAGACAGTTATTTTTACATCTGAAAATATCTTTGATGTGTAACTAACAAGTTATTAATTGCTACGAAAATATTTCCTAAACAGCAGTGGAGAGTTTTCTAGGATTGGAAAGTCTTTCCCAACAGGAACAAAGAAAGAAGGGATAAGAGGAACATACTTGTGATTCTAGTTCAGTTAAAAAAAAAAATAAGACTAACTTGCAGGTAGAGGGCACAGGGGCATAAGTTAATAGTATCTCTAGATGCAATCTTACCCAAAAGCTTATATGCAACCTCTCCAAGAATACATCCATGTGGTATAATGACCACACCAGAGCCAGGTAGGATAGACTCTGGAAACTGGATGATTCAGAAAAAAATACACTAAAATTTTGCTCAAACTTTGATATTGGTCAAATAATTCAAAGCAGGAGATAATACAAAGATCATTTCTACTGGTCTTTGGAAAGCACAGGCAAATATCTGCTTATCTGAGAATTAATGGTATTTGGAACTTCCAACTAAATCACCCTCAACCTAGAAAATGCACCAAAACCTTCCATTTTTTCTGTCTTCCCTCTTTGTTTGGCTCTTCTTTGTTCCCCATTTCATAGTGGCAGAATTGAACTGCTTCTTGCCTTAAAAAGCACTAGTCTAATTAAAAGTCTCTTCAAGCTAGTGGTGCCATTTTTGCCTTCCCGGGGGCAATAGAAACAGGAGGTTTCAAGAAAGTTAATTAGCTGCTTTGATTTAAAGGATATTCCTAGAGCCAGGAACCTTCACGTGAAATCTCCAGCGCCTGCCTCCTTTCTTAGCCCTTACTTGGCTATAAAGATGCATACAGTGAGAATAAACGTTGACAGCAGAAAAGTTAGTACTGGGAATTAACAAAGGCAAGGTGAGATTTCAGTAACATGAACACAAAAGTTGTCAGCTATGAAGAATAGACATTTTTTAAACTTCTGAAACCCTATGAAGAATTAAAAATCTCATGAGAAATGACAGTTTTGAGCACTGGATTAAAGCTCATTTTAGGAGCATTACCCATGACAGGAATGTTTGTGTCATGACAACTCTAAGACCTACGAAGCTCTGTGCTGAAATCTGTGGAATTATAACAAATAGCCAATCTCAGAATACATTTTAACCTCTCCTACCCCACTTGCTGGACTTTCTGGCATTAATGGCTCAGTTCTTCCTATCTGCAAGGATTGAATGCAGGGCCTTTACACTGAGCTATATCCCCAGCCTTTTTTCATCTTTCTTTCTTCCTTTCCTTACCTTTCTTTTCTCTT